AATTCTAAGCCTTGGATCCATTCACATTAACAAAATGAAGATATAAATTATGTTGTTCAGTGGTATTAGTAAACATAATATCCATCTCTGTAAGTATCCCTCCCAGACAGCTGCCTCCCCTCATGAATAGCAATTCATGAGGCCACGGATGCTACTTTGCCTGGCAATATCGAAATCTAAATAGTGACAATCAGACAGATTTTTCTGTCTCTCTCTCTCTCTTAAGGCCACATGTTTCTGGATTACAACTGTTGCCGCTCTGAAAAACAATAGCCTCTAGGGACACATCTGAAAGCAGGACTCATAAAATATTTGCATTTACATTTGAAAATGTCTTGTTAAAAAACCAACAAACACTTGTATTCATTTAGGAAATTATTCTATAATCCTTCAAAGAAGGTCAGAATTCAAATTCTGTCAGAAACTCTGTTTCTATTTTTCTTATTTAAATCGCCCTTTAAGAGAGATGTTTTGTTTTGATTTGTTTTCTTAACTGAAACCCTGAAATTACCAAGGCTTAGCAGAAAAAGGGACGGGTGTGTGTGTGTGTGTGTGTGTGTGTGTGCGCATGTGTATGGGTTTTAAACTGATTCATAATTTGTTTTGTCCTGCTTTATTAGGTGTTGACCTTTTTGTGCAATCCAGCCCAAATTTCCAAAAAAAAAAAAAAAAAAAAAAAACATGCCTCTCTGGAATACTCCCTGAACCATTTTTTTTTTCTAGAAAGAGAATTTTCCTTTAAAAAATGTCACAGAAATCAGCAGGTTTTTAATTTAAAGTTTAAAAGCAACTAAATATTCCTTCATCCCTCTTCCTTCTAAATCATTATGTTTTACTAATATTCCAAGAGCAAATGCAACTTTAATAATTATATACACATCTCAACAGAAGCATTCTCAATTTACTGCTGTGTCTTACTAAGTCAATTGGAAACATGATATGTATCCTAGAGGTATCTGCATTTTTATTAGTACAATAAAAATTGTATCAAGCATCAAGTATTGTTGCTTTAAAATTTCTTGGGCTGTTTTTTTTTTTTTTTATCATAAAGTCACAGCCTTAGAAGATATACAAGAGATACCCTTAGGTTTAATGAGGGACATGATTGTAAATGTTAATCCACAGGCTCTCCAAAAACATAAATCCTCACTTGTTGCATTTCCCAGTTTCCACAGTGTAAAGAAATACTCCCACTGTAGCCAATTTCAAGCTACTGATGTGGCATCACTGAAGGCAGAGTTGGAAGTGATGCAAACACCATCCACACCACTGGTTCTGACAACCCTGACAGCACATGAGCTTTCCTCAGAATTTCCAGGAAGTCTCCGAAGTTGCCCAAGTCAGATGTTACTCAAGGGAAGCAGATGAGAATTGTGCTTAACAGCCAAGCCCTCAAGGTGGGTGCCCAAGCCCCTAAGCCCATTAAGTTACTTTCTGTGTTCCCTCACGTAGGTTGTGTAACTTTTCTGTCAACGTGTTTCCTCTTATGCATGAAGTATATAAAATGGTAATAATGTTTCTATCCCATGGGATTGCTGCGATAATTAAATGAAATAGTGTATTAAAATGCTTCAAAGATTTCTTGGCACAGAGCAGGCTATAATAAGAGGCTTTTAGTTATAAATTTGGGTGTTGCTTTTCCAGGATCTATCATTCCAACTGTCAGAATGTTTTACGTATTGCCATCTTAATTTTTCAGAGGTCATTAAAAACCATCCTGCTCAACAGTAATAGCCCGAGAGGAGCCAGTTACAGAAAAAAGAGCACTAAAAGCAATAACAGAAGTCATACCTTAGTTTCTGTGCCTAGCTTTGCCAAAGCCTAAGTCCGTGACCCTTGGAAAACATGTTTACTTCTAGGAGCTTTGGTTCTCTCATTGGTGAAGTGAAGAAAGTAATGGTAATCCTCCTGCCAACTGCATCAGATTGTGAAGAGACTAATGTGAGCCCTTGGAAGATGGTCCAAATGTGGGTTATTATTATTAATCCAGGTTAAAAATCAAGATGCCATGGAAGCATGGAAGCATTAAAATAAAATAGTGAAGAGGTTTATATCATTTGAGTAAAAGTTGGGGATCATGTAGTGTTAAGAACTGGGATTTTTTTTTAGAAAAGAACACACACACACACACACACACACACACACACACACACACACACACACCAGTTCTACCATGAAGCAGTTAAACATTTTTTTCTTTCCACAAAAAAAAATTTTTTTCAAATGAAAGGAATGATGCTTACAAATGTAACATGTGTAAATGAATTAGGGATCATGGAGAACTAAGTTAACAAAATATCTATAGAATCATAATTTCTGGAAGGAAATACAATATAAAAATCTATCAAATGAAAAGCAAGATATTTATGAAAATTAGATAGTTAGCATTATGCCATCATAAGATGGATAATGCAAATCTCCAATTCTTTAAGGTAAAAGTTCCTTAGTTTTACAAATAAATATAAAAAATAAAATGTCAAGGACTGGTTGAAGAAATCTTAAACATAATGGCCACTCAATTTGTGAATAATAAAAAGCACACATGAAAATGAAGGAGTAAGGAAATTACAGGAACATTAGATTTTTTTAAATATACAAACTTTGAATCTGTGTTCACTTAGAAGAACCATATGCATTATATACGCACTCAGTCAAAGTTAAGGAAGAAAATAACTCTGCAAATAGTTTATGATCTTAAAGTGTGCCTATGATTTTCCCCCTAATTTATGAATCTAAGTCATGTTTTAACTGAAAAGTTCTGTTAACAGAAAAAAAATCACCTGTGCAACATAACCCGCACCATGTTCTTTTCTGTCCATTATTAGTGAAAACTCTCATCTGATATTAAAAAGGTCAGTGACATAAATGATATATCATGATATAGGAAGATCTCCAAGTTTCCTTATTTAAGGGGAAAAAAGCAAAATAAACATTGTGTATATAGTGTGCTACTTTCCATAAAAGCAAAACAGAAAAATACGAAATAAAAATTTGTAATACATCATTGGAAATATACATAAATTTATGAATTGGAAATATAAGTAGATTGGGGTGGGATAAGGGTGGAGGCAAGGTGTTCATGAGGCACCTTTACCTTATTTTGATTTTTTAATCATGTGAATTATTACCTGTGAAACAACAGTGGTGTGTGTGTGTGTATTTCATCCACTACTCATAGACATATAAAACTTCAATTTTAGGGGGCACCTGGGTGGCTCAGTCGGTTAAGCGGCCGACTTGGACTCAGGTCATGATCTCACGGTCCATGAGTTTGAGTCCCGCGTCGGGCTCTGTGCTGACAGCTCAGAGCCTGGAACCTGTTTCAGGTTCTGTGTCTCCCTCTCTCTGACCCTCCCCTGTTCATGCTCTGTCTCTCCCTGTCTCAAAAATAAATAAAACATTAAAAAAATTTAAAAAAAAACTTCAATTTTACATCTGGCTTAACAGTTCTCCCCTCCCCCATGCTCAGGCCTGACTCACACATGGACACCTGCAGAAGGGAAGGGGCATGATGGATGTTCACTCTCCATGTTCCATCACCAGCACCACTCACTCTGCTGTTTCTTACCATTCAACAGTGTGATAGGAGTGGCAGAAAATTATAGGAGTCAAAGGGCATTACACGACTGATGTGTTTGTTGTCATCTATGTGACAAATGCCCAAATACTGGTTATTTTTCTCTTCTGGGAGCTTTTGTGTATCCTTCAGAGAACTTGCTATACCAAGAGGTTACCTTGACCATTATGTGTTCTCTGATATCTGGGTTGAATCTTTTATCTCCCTCATTCATTCAACAATCACCACATGCAGCCTCTTTTTCACCTTCTGAAGGCAGTTGCCTTTCAATACTGGTCAATCCCTTCAAAAGACCTATACTGCATCTGCTTCATGACTTTGAAAAACTTAGTGCCTTTTCTATGCTAAGCTCTGGAATGAGTTTATTCTCTCCCTCCACAGTGTCCCTTTTACCTGTGAATTCAAGGTAGTCTGAATTAGCCTGCCACCTTTGACTCTGTTGAGATGAGAATCAGGAACTGGTCTCGGTACCCTCTAAACTGCTAGAGATAGTGCACAAATCTCTTACAAACTGTCATATCATACTCCACTAAGTCTTCTATTAGCAGTAGGATCCTCAGGACCCTCTCTTGAGGTTCTGAGGTAAGTATTCCCTTAGAGAAAAAAGGGGAAATGCACAGTTCTCTCTTAAGGCCAGGGTTTTTTAACCTCCATACTATTGACACATGGGGGCTGTATAATTCTTTGTCGTGGGGGATTTTCCTGTAGCAGCATCTCTAGCCTCTACCCATCACCAAATAGTAGCACACTCCCATCAACCAAACCAAAAATGTCTACAAACATTGCCAAATGACCCCAGGGAGGCAAATTCCCTAGTCAAGAGCCACAGAACTAGGCTAACAACCTTCTTCAAATAAATCCCCATTTCTTAATCTCCTTACCACTCTGCTAAACAGGAGGCTAGGTGATAAGGTTTAGGTGGTGATCAAATACACATTTGGGACTGTTTCTTAACAAGTCCTGGAGAGTGTCTAATAGGTATATCTTATGAGAATGCATGGGCATGTGACACCCATTTTCTCAGAAGGAACTCTTAAATCTGGAAATAATAGGAAAATCCTTACATCAGTAAAAATCAGTACAAGCTTACATCTGTCTCTGATGTTTACAAATCTATGCCTAAGGGCAATGAGTGTAGGAGGAGAAGAGACTCTAATGTGTTCATTTTATGACTTAATTGTTTGACTATTTTTTGATATTCAACCATTTGAATATCATAAAATGTGTATGTTTTTTAGAAAGAATCATAGTCCAGTTAAGTAGCTCTAAGAAAAAAAAAATCTCTTTAAATTTTAATACGATTTTGATTTTGGTTTCATGACTAAGATATGCTAAATTCATGTTTGAGATAAATGAAGGCCAAGAAAGAGGAAAAAAGGGAGAGAGACAAAGAAGATAAAAGGGAAAGGAGGCTAAAACTTACCTTGTTTCATCAATATAAACAGCTTCCAACACAGATGCTGCATATTCAATGTTCTTCTTTAAGTCTACAACGTTAACATCACCTTTTTCCAGCTGCTTCACTAAGCATCTTAGTCTGTTTTAAAAAAAGTAGTCAAAAAAGAGAGAAATAAGAGGAGATTTATTATAATCATATGGAAAACACTCTAATATTAAATACACAAATCAATTTAAATTATTAACATATCTTTCTAGGTCATCAAATAGAAATATTTTGAGGAGTTTTTTGATATAATTAAGATCAGTTTTTCTCACTTAGACAACTCTTAAAAGTTATATTCACCTCTCAATAATATTAGGGGTGTACATTGTTATTTTAGGTACTATATTTCAAGGACAGTCTTTCTGAAAATTGAAAACAATATAGATATTTCCATAAAAGTATGTTCCCAATATTAGAATTTATTCTATGGCTGCTCTGCTTCTTTAGAGCTGTAACTAAAAAATTATTTAAGGGTACTTTTTTTTTTACCACTACTGTGGCAATTATTCACGGTATATAGCAATAACAAAAATGAAAGGCAAAAGATCTGAGAAAATACGATTATGATGAGAAAAAAATCTATGTATGAGTGCTTATTATTTTTACTGAAATGATTTTTCACCTGAGGCAAATCTGTACAATATTTTCTCTCGCTTTTGTCCATACAGTGATGTGTCCCAACTCTCTGAGGAATTTTAAAGCCTGGATCAACTAAGCCATGTCTGGAATCTTGACTCACAGAAACTGTTAGATCATTAATGGTATTGTTTGAAGCCACTAATTTTGGGGATTATTTTTTATGCAGCAATAGATATTTCATGAAGTGAGACAATACAAATTGCTACTATAAGTTTCTAACATTTTTAGAAATTTTTGTGCTTTAATTATAAACCAAGTGTTTCTGAAGATATTACCCTATACTAGGCAGAAAAGGAAAACAAATTCCTTATTCTCTACATTGTATAGATAAAAAATGTGAAGACAATTTATCCATTTTCCCAAGTCAGCAGACAATTTAATTCCATTCCTGAGCAAAAGTATTTCAGAGAGAATGGAGTACATCTACTTTTAGGCATTGTCTTAAAGATAGTGTAGCAGATTTTCTGAAAACTTACTTTGGATGATTTCCAATATCAAGGCTAAGGGTGTAAAGACAAGTTAAAATTTTCAGTAAGGGTTTTGACAAATTATTTCTCCATAGGAAAAAGGCACACCTAGACTAAAACTTCTTATTCAGGAATCTACAAATAATTCTCTTTTGTATCATATGCTTTTATATGATAAAATATTAGCAGATAACCACATTGCAAAATAAAATCTATGTATTAATAAATTAAATACGTCTCATTCATATAGTCAGCAAAACAAAACAAATCAAAGATAACAACTAAAGCAGGTTACTTATGAAAACTAAGCCTATCTGAATATGATGATAATAGAGTAACACACAGAGATTTTTGTAATGTGTATGACCTACGTACATTATATTTAGTGAAATTGCCTTTTATGTGTGAAAGCAAAAGAAAAGAATTCACAGGTCTGCAGTGACTTAAAAATATATCCCTCATGTATCCTTCTTGTGAAAAGTACCTGGTACAGCTTGGTTGTATTTCATGTTTGTATGACTTAATTTTAAAAGCAGTAAGTACTTCAGATAATTGCTTCTTTTCTTCTGAATAAATAAACTCTATTTTTATTTGAGTTAGCAATCCTCTCCACTAAAAAAATCTACATTTTTTCAAGCTCTCTTAAAGCTAGGTATAGTCATTTTACAGCTTTCTGGCCAAGGAGAGTAAGAAGAGGTTGTTGAGTAAGACTTCTGGAACAATTATTTTGAAGAAGGCTAACTCAGGTGGAAGGGGTTCTCTTTTATCCTTTCCGGTTCCTTGCTGCCCAAATGCAGTGGAAGTGTCTGAAGATCCAGTAGCCATTTAGAGTCTTGAGGCAATCTGGCAATCAGAAATTACCGGAGAGAATGGCAGACAAGGAAGATGGAAGTGGCCTGAGTCTCAGGCTGGGAATCCACCCTAATGAAGTCACCCACCTCTGAAGTTATTTCGTATGAGAAAACAAAAAAGAAATGTTTTGTTTAAGCTACTATTATTTTGAGACTTTCATGTGCAGCTGAGCCCAATCTTAACCAATAAGTCAAATGAATAAGAAATGACTCAGAATTCAAAAATGGCGAAACATCATAGAAAATGAGAGGGGATGCCCCAGGGAAAGTGCCCACAGACAGGTGCACTTCCGCAATCATGACAGCCTGCAGTTGTCCTCAGGGGTATCATCCCATCAGCAGATCAGACCTGATGAAACCTCTGACAGGGAACATGCTCTTTCACAGAGACATCTTGATGTGGTTTAAAAAATAAAGTTATGCATTTTGATATTTTAATAGGGGTATAAATCTATACTCTGACACAAGAAATTGCTCTGAAAAAATACTCCAAGAAGGTTTTACCACCTAGAAAATCTAGTTAGATAAGTTTATAAGTATAAAATCATAGTCACATCCACAAACACACACACACACACACACACACACACACACACACACACACACCCCACACACACATTCCTAAACTCACTATGTTGATCCAAAAGACCGGAAGGAAATATATATTTGGGGGTTACTAGGACTTCTTCCTCTTTTATTTCCCCTGCCTGTATGCACCTAATTTCCTTTAGTGAGTGCAAAGTTCTATTTACATAAAAAGCAAACTATTGCATTGTAAAAAGACTATTTATAAACAGAACAGCAGGTTAATGGAATAATTTATATGCATAGAACAATCCCCAACCATCTTATTTAGGCTATTATTTCATTCTCTTTATAGATAAAAAGGTCAAATGTCTTTATTATTCATTTTCAAATGATCATAATTTCGAAACTAGTAGGTTTTAAAATATTAATGCTTTACCACATATATCTATACAAATTTTTAATTTTTTAAGTTTATTTTGAGAGAGAAAAAGCGTGTGCACAAAAGCAAGGGAGGGGCAGAGTGACAGGGAGAGAGAATCACAAGCAGGCTCTGCGCTGTCAGCACAGAGCCCAATGCAGGGCTCAGTCTCATGAACCGTGAGATTATGACCTGAGCCAAAATCCAGAGTCGGACACTTAACTGACTGAGCCACCTAGGCACCCCCAAGTTTTGTATTTTTTAAAAAAATAACTATATTTACCTAATTACTCAGTCATCCTATGGGTCAATCTCAGAACCAAAACAGGAATCAGTCATGTGTAAAATGAACAGGTTCTCTTAATTTAGTAAAACATCTTTTTAATAATGATTTGGTTTCTTTCATCAGAGTAAAGAAGCATGGTGAAAAACAGTGTTCTTAATGCTGTTCTTAAGGTCTAGGTATGTTCTTATGGTTCCCAAAGTTTAGGTTAAGTATACTTGTTAGATGTTCTAATCTGTGCAGTTTCTGGCCCACTAATCTGTGGTTGGAGACTCCACTGGCTACTTTGCTGGGTAGCAAAATGAGTTAACAGCTGTTCTATCAAACATAGACCAGCTATTTATAGGTCAATGATATTGCCAAAAAGGTGTTGAAAACCCCAGTCAGTTAAATAGATATTAAACATTTATTACCATGCCTGTGGCTCTGTAAATATATATTTATACATATAAATTATTTTATGTATTTATATACATATATATTAATACATATAAGAATATATATGAATGCATATATAAGAGTGCACACACACATGTATAAGACATGGGCACTTGTGTGTGCACCACAGTATCTGTCTTCAAGGTATTTACAATCTCTGGGGGTAGCATAACATATGCACATAATATGGTCAAATGTTGAAATGCATACATTCCCCATTACTTCTTTTACACAACCCTGATTTTACACAACCCTAAGAAAATTGATTTAGTCATTGTTCCTCAAACATTCTCACATCATCCTAGATTGAAGCTCTTCTTTCTTACAGAAATACCTTTCTCCATATCTCATCTTTTACTGCCTAAATCATGCTTAGTAAATAGGAGTATCTTGGGTGCTACCTATATCATAAGTCCTTTGAAGATTACCATCCATTGTGTTCTCTCCAAACTTAGAAACTAAACCACACTTCATTTATTCCTCACTAAAAAAACTGAAATTTCTCTGGCTTCCTTATAATTTCAATTTTGTGTACATGATGTTTTTCCAATCCAATAAAAAAATGATAAGGACTACAAAGAAGCAGGGTAATTGATCCATAATGAGGATAAAAATTAATCAGTCAAACTTGGCCCAAATATGACAAAGATGATAGTATTAGAAGGCAAGGATGTTAAAACCATCATTATTAAAACACAATTATGTAAAAAACATTATGCCAATAAATTCATTTTTTTTTAAATTTTTTTTCAACTTTTATTTATTTTTGGGACAGAGAGAGACAGAGCATGAACGGGGGAGGGGCAGAGAGAGAGGGAGACACAGAATCGGAAACAGGCTCCAGGCTCCGAGCCATCAGCCGAGAGCCCGACGCAGGGCTCGAACTCATGGACCGCGAGATCGTGACCTGGCTGAAGTCGGACGCTTAACCGACTGCGGCACCCAGGCGCCCCTGCCAATAAATTCAATAATTCAAATAGAATGAACAATTTCCTTAAAAGACACAAACTATCAAATCTCAAGAAGAAATGAATAAACTGAATTTTCAGTTTAAAGTGTTAACATAAAGAAACTTCAGGCCCATATGACTTCATTGGTGAAATATGAAAAAAATATTAAGGAAAAATAATACCTGTTGTCTTCAAATTTTTCCAGAAAAATCCTATATCCTAATCCTAATCTTATGTCATTCTGAGAAGTCAAAATTGCCCTTATAACAAAACCAGATGAAAACATTAGCAGAAGAAGGAAGAGGAGGAAGGGGAGGAGGAGGAACAACCTATCAATAAATATGCCTCATGAACATAAATGTAAACAATCCTTAACACTTTGAGAAATCAAATCCACCAATATCTAAAAGAATAGTACATCATAAGATTAAAAAATTAATCAATGTAACTCACTATATTAAGAGACTCAATAAGAAAGGAATAGACTAAATAAACAGGAATAGAGAAGAGCTTCCTCAC